GGGGGGGGGGGCGTACGCCCATTACGCCCTCACCTGGGCCCGCTCCTGATCCTCATAATGAAACGGGAACTAACTAAAGCTAGTGTACAAAAGACCAACGAAGGGTTCGACATTATGAGCAGAGGAAGAATTGTTATGAAAAAGGACAAATGAAAATTAACAAGCACAGTGACTTTAGGGTATGGCCATTGCAAGGTATTCATAAAATCATTTTACTATTTGCTTTACCAAATCATTAAGACTTAATTATTGTAATCATATTCAAGTGTACCCTATCAATATCCTGGTTTATGTTTAATTTGACTTTCAAATAGCATGTCCTCTGCTATATACAAACTGTTCTACCTTTGATTTCTATTATGAGATCATTATCATTTGCTTGATTTAACTTTACGATAAAAATGTAATATCTAACCACACAGCAAAGATAAACATGACAAGCTGTTGATGTTGAAGAGTGCAAGCTGTTCCAACAACCCTCAGATCCAACATTGGACGCTCCACATCCTTGATCTGGACTAGTCTAAAGGGATGAAAAGGGATACCATTGAAGACTTATATAAAATCAACTATGATGGAGGTCTATTTAGAAATTACAAGTGGCTATCAAGTTACAACAAAATAAATATTTAATACTAACTATAGAAAAAATGGTATATCATGACTGTACGTACTTGTAATTTTTTTTAAAAGATTGTGTGTTTAAATATATATAATTTTTTTTTGAAAAAATGTAATTAAACATTAAGGAAGGAGTATATATTTGTACAAAGTTTGATAATTTTGTATCCCCCTCCCCACTTTTGTTTTATCATATACACGCATGGTCAAATCCTCTCCTGGGCTGTTATTACAAAGAACGTGGAATACACCAATGCCATCCATTGGACCAACCAATATATTGTATGAGAAACATTTGTTGTGATATCAAAATAGATTGTTCAGTTCTGGCTACACAATACATTGTGAACACGGACAGGATGTTTTAAGATACTGACCTCTGACTAGATGCTGAGCTTCCCTTTATGTAGAACTCATCATATTGACTTTGAAATCCAACAGACAATAGCACAAACCATGTCTATAACAAAACAAGCCGGTGGTGGCATTCCTGGGTGGAGACAGAGATACAATAACACTCCACGGGCAAAAACAGAAAACAATTTAAACTTGACATGAAAAATCATAAAATGTTTGAATGCCGTAAAAGTGCCAATGAATGTTTATCAACTAAAGCAAAGCTGTTACAGGACGACCACGGGGCAGGCTCCCGATACGCCACAGTTCACTGGACAAATGGGACACTTCTGTCTGCACTCTAATGATGAAATTTGATATTCTATGTTTTCTAATCTGATGAAAACTTAATACGACACATTGAAGAATCAACCAATATTGAGTAAAACGTCAGAGTTCAATTCTACTATACTGATGTTAATACATCTAACTGTATTTCCACATACTGTATTTATCCTACTGTAACAGGAAAGAGAATAGTGTGCTTCCACCAGGGATAGAACCCTCGATCTCCAGATTCCCCTTTTTTTATCGCCATCGAATACAACAACCCATGTTCTTCTTCCATGTCACCACAGGGAGGGCCATGGACACCATTTGTAACAGGAAAGAGAATAGTGGCTTCCACCGGGGATCGAACCCTGAACCATTGATCTCCAGGTTCCAAGTTAGACGCTCTACCTCTGAGCTAAAGGGAAATTCCCTCTAGCTCGAAGCTAGAAGGCGACCTTAATCCTATACATGTACAATTAAAATCTGCCACACTACAAATGGCCCAGGGGTTTAATACATAATATCTTACTCAGAGCACCAAAGTGGCATGGAGGAGAACTATTGAACGAGAAAGGAAGATCTAGGTTTCAGGCCTTGGACAGAGGCAGCATGATCAGCCCAGGACAGCAACACTTGGAGAGGACTTGTGCATGGCTTTATTCTCCACTCAGAGAGAAGGAATTAACTCAAGTAAGTCAATCTTACTCAAAGGAATGAGTCATGCTTATTACAGGAGATTGAAATAGCAATTGCTGGCATTTTTACTGAAATGCAATAAATATAAATGGGCTTATTTTCAGACATGGGCTTAATTCTGGATAAATACGGTAATTATTACTACTTCTAGTGTAGTTCACTGACACTGTGAGGACACGGTGGAGGAATATGTACATGGCTAAAGTGTTATGCTCTCCTAAAATAGATCCCAACAATCAGCACACTCATAAAATTAGCTCCCCATATAAAACAGTTCAAACTCGTCCTATTCTGAACTTTTTATCTATAATTATACCTGGCCTTACTATTGCGTAACCATACCATGAGCTGGCTGCTAAATAAAGACTCTGCAATAAGCTGGCAGTAAAAATAGATACTGCAATGAAGAGAGATAGCATATGAATTGGTTTCTGCAATATGTGGGCAAGTAAAACATATTTCTTACATCTAGATTCCAAAATCTAAATTGCTAAAAAATAAAACACAGTAAAATATTTCGTTTTATCCAATTTCCATATGTCCCCGTTTCAAAGAACATATTCTAGCTTCGAACCTGATCCTGACTTGGACTCAGTGAGTATGTAACATTAAAGAGAAAAGTGTGCTTCCACCAGGGATCGAATCCTCGATCCCTAGGTTCCTAGTCGGAAGCTTTACCACTGGGCTAAAGGGAAATTCCCTCTAGCTCGAAGCTAGAAGGCGACCTTAATCCTATGTACAATTAAAGTCTGCCACACATGTATATCAACTTCCATACTTTTTACACTACTTAAAACATATTAAGCAGGTCCCAACAGACACTGACAAGGAACTGAAAGATTAGTGGGGAGATAGATTAATAACATAGCTGCTGAAACAAAACTCATATAGCATTAGTTTTACCATCAAAACGTTTGGCTGCCAAATCAACCCCTTATATGTTGCTGTCTTTTAAGATTGATTGATGATGCTTTTGATCTTGTTCTGCTTATTACCGAGTCTAGGACAAAGAATGTCTATTATGATTTAATAGCATGAAATCATGTGACAATAAAATCACACTAAGGATGGCAAGATCCTGGTGTAAACCACCTGGCAGTCACGAACACATAGGTACATATCAGTTGCACCCCTACGACCCAACCCCGATTACGGGACATGCAAGACATAAAAAGGTTCATGTAATATGTTAGATCTATGCAAAGTTTTGTTGAAATCGATCTTATATAAATACTTTAGAAAACTAGACTGGACAAGGCTTTGCCTGTAAGTAAAGGGCTGTAACTCTATGGTACCAACATGACAGTCTGACACATGAACAGGCCATTTCATTAACTCATGCACCCCTGTATTTTGAAAATGGACTATGATATGCTTGATTTGGAGCAGTCCAAATGCCTAGTGCAGACAAAATGTAATTCCAGTTTCTACCCTGCACCTTCCCAAATGTGTTACTAGAGGTATAGATAGATTCTACTACTGGGGTAGTATGGAATTCCATCAAAACCAGTTGATAAACGATGTTGCTAGATTGATGGCAAAGAGGATTGCATATGAATATCCGTTCAGATCAGTGAAAAGGGGTTCACACAGGTATGCCTTTACCTACAACCTGTCAGAACTCTACCATTATACACAAGCTGTTCTAGTGTCATAAAACCATCATATACAGTTCTGACATGTAACATGTACATATCATCACAATGTTGGTGGTCAGGTGGTGCAGTGAATAGCACAATTGCCCTTCTCCAAGGTGGCCAGGGTTTTATTTCCCTATCATATGTAAACAAAGTATGGGCTCACCTGCCCAACAACATGCATTTCCTCCAGGTTCTTTCTCCCACATTAAGACCTCCTGCACACATCAATCTGGCCAACAAGAGTGATAACTAGAAGTTTGAAAAACTTGTTTTAAAATTGTTGTCAAAGAAATAGTAAACATACATTATTTTGTAAAATCACCCAATGCTTTGTCATAATGAAACAAAACAAATACATCACAAATTCATATTAATGGTGAAACTGGTACTGTTTTCCTTTGATGATATTTTTCAAAATGTGCAATTCAACATGCTTTGGACCAGTATACGATAAAAAAAGAACCTTAATACCATTTTCCCTATGCATGAAATGTAATGGGAAAAAGTTTGAAATCCTTCAACTTTGCTGTGAGGGGATGATTACATTAACTGTATATGACCTAAAAATACTGAGGGATTTCCTGTTAAACAGTCATCATTTTAAAGGGCATAAAATCCATGTATACTTGTATCTGTGTATAAATGTCTACTTCTGTTTGTTATCGGTGGAGAGCTTGGCAGATAACATGGCTCGTGACAGTTTTAGTGTTATTGTATATATTCCTGACTAGCCACATCTGTGAAAGTCAAACAAAAGCTCTGATTTATTAATTTTCTGGACCATAGCAGAAATAAATCAACTATTTGCTGTCTTCAGTGTTTGCCCAAAAGATTCAAGACAGGCATTTTTGTCTGGCCACACAACTTAATGACAGGAGTCATGTTTCATTTACCATACCTGCCAACCCCGGATACACTGAAAGAGGGTGATGACCTTCTTTTGAAAATAAAAAAGAGGGTCATAGCGTGCGACGTCATTTTTCGCAACAAATGTAAGAAAGTAGATATTAAATTAGAACTTTAATATTTTAATGATGTAAAAGGTACATTCTACATTCATTGAACTGTTCTTCCAGCAGATCTAGCTGATCCTCATCCACAATACCAAATTCAAAGCTGAAAAATAAAAAGATTTGTTAACAAACTAACACAACTTATAAAATTAATTCATAATAATAAATATGATTCTGTGTTTTCACAGGCATTTTTTTATGTCAATTAAAATGGTCCTGACAATAAGATGTCACATTCTTCTCATATAACATACCATTTTGTTTCTTCCAAAAAAAATGGTCCTGGCAATAAGAAGTCGCATCCTACTCATATAAAATATCAGTTTTATACACGTAGGGTTTGAATTCTTATTGTCAGGATCATTTTGATTGACAGAAACAAATCATCAAATGCCTGTGCATGTTTTTGAATGTCTAAGTAACGTCGTTTTTAACACCAGATCCAACTGAAATATGCGATTAACAAAGAGTGCAGAATGGAGCGTTTGGTCCATGACCGCCAGATTTATCCACTATAACTCATTTTCCTGTGACATTTGATATGTGCACAATTATCTTTTCTTTTAGCATTTTGTGTAGTAGAACCTGCAAGTCCCGATAACGACTTCTTCCTTCAAGAAGACATAACGTTACCTTCAAAATACGATCTATACTACGTTAATACAATTGTAAAAACAACTCAATTATTCCTTAAAACACCTCACTAATTACTTGACGGTAAGTTCAGTAACAACGGTCTTTATATAAACATTTATAAAAACAGTTCTAGTACGTATATAAACAACTCACAACTTACCTATCGGTGAGAAATGGAAACAGGAAATAGATCGTCTTTCTTATGATAAAGGATGGAAAAGTCTAGAGAATTCCGAGTGACTTCGGTAACTTCTAATATACGAAAAGATTCCAGGCGAAAACGGGTGAAATTGACGAAATCCGGGTCAAAATCGTAACCCGGCGAGTGAAGTTATAAAAGCGGGTGAAGGGCTAAAATCCCGGGTGTAACCCGACGAAATTGGGTCACTTGGCAGGTATGATTTACATCACAAAAATGCATCATTATGTCCATGAAATAAGTTAAAGAATTTTGAGTTTCTATATTATGAAAGAATTAATGAAAATACTTGTCTTACAATTCATTATAAAGTTGAAATACAAATTGAATAGTGGAAATACTAGTCTTATGTTCCACTATACAAATGTATCCGGAACAGAAAGGGGAAAGGATTGACAAAAAGATCAGGGTATGTTCTTCAGCTGGAGGAGCCATTTTTGCCATGTACCAAGGAATGTGTGTTATTACAAGTCTACAAAGCTGTACAATAAACACCACCAGCATGGTCGGAAAAATACACCTAGGACAAATGCAGTTGATACAGATCATACATAAGTAGATCCTATACAAACAGACCAGCAAGGCCTTGTAGAGTGAGTTTGTAGTAAATTTTAGACTGGTTCATAAAAGTAGAATCTGAGGTGATCGTAGAGAAATAGGCAAAATTAATTTTGAAGAAAGACAGACATTGCTTTTGACAGATTTTGTCATACACTTGATAAGTTTGAAAGCAACTACACTTTCCATCCTTATGTTTCCCCCCCCCCCCCAAGTTCTCAGTAAAAACACCTCAACCTTGCCAAAACAATAGAAATACTCCTTCAATATGAGGATAAAGAAACACCAATGAATTTTGAAAGAGTTTGGGCTGATATCATTTGAGTTTGACTGAAAACAAATGTGAGGACAGATAAGCAGATGGACTGTTGAAGTGATTACAACTGATAGAGCATATGCCTTAAAATATATACCAGAGGACTGGAACACATGTAATATTACAGGTGTTGAACACATATTTAATCCGACAGATACCATTAACCATCAATAAAGAACAAAATCATACTGACAATATATAAATATCACATTCATGAGAGGGCGATATTGCATATTTTCACCCCTCGGAAAGCATTGTTGACCGAGGCGAAGTTTTCACTGGGATGAACAAGGGGTGCATACATTCGGCGCATGTAACAATTTTTGGAATAACACCCTGGCACTGGGACGAACCGTGCACGCATACCTTTGGCGCATGTGATATTATTTGGAATAACACCCTGTCTTCTTTATCTTTGTAAAACGAGCAAGTAACATTGAAAATGTTCACATCTTTCTCAACCAATCAGATTACGAGATTTTAACAGAAGGTATAATAACAGTAGTTATAGCCCCAAAAATGGTCTCAGCTGGTCAGAAGCCATGGTGGCCATCTTGGATTATTTGATTGGGATAGTGTGTCCTTATATCATCCAGTAGAATATCCCCTAAATATCAGTTACCTCCAAGTTAGAACTGAACCTTGTAAATTGAACGGAAGTCATAGCCACATACAATATGTCTCAGCCAATTAGAGGTGATGGTGGGTAACAATGACCTGCAGCCATCTTGGATTTTTGGATCATAATAATATTGCGTTGTTCACGTAGTATATACATTGAATACCATCTAAAATGAACAAACCCACAAATGCAATAAAACTGAAATTATGAAGATCTCAAAAGTTGATACAATCTCCGAAAGTGTGAACAAACAGACAGCCACCTTAAGGAGTTTCCACCCTTCGTAATACACATGTTTTTCTTTTCATATTTTCGTGTCGTCATTTCCGTATTGCGTATCGGGCATTCCATTACCGTGGTGTAAATTATAGTAACACCGGGTAAACAATAGTACATGTGCGTGACGATGATATGTCAACACCCGATATCGAGACTTAACTTGGAAATGTGTAATCACACGTACTTCAGAAATAAAGCTTATGATACAAAGACATTAATTAACTCACGGGCAAACACTGACATATGATCAGACGACTTCCAAGAAGGTCGTATATGAGGCGCATGGAATGCAGACTGATGTGTTTTGTTTACCGACCTCACCTGTACGTATCACGTGCTAACAGTAGTTCACAAGCTCTTGGTCGCTA